CACTGTGTGTGATTTAGTTTAAGCTATAATTCTAGTTATAGCTAACCTTTAGTTAAAGCTATAGTTATAGCTATAGTTTAACCTTTAGTTAAAGCTATAGTTTAACCTTTAGTTAAAGCTATAGTTAAATCAATAGTTAACGCTATAGTTAAAGCTATAGTTAAAGCTATAGTTAAAGCTATAGTTTAACCTTTAGTTAAAGCTATAGTTAAAGCTATAGTTAAAGCTATAGTTTAACCTTTAGTTAAAGCTATAGTTAAAGCTATAGTTAAAGCTATAGTTTAACCTTTAGTTAAAGCTATAGTTAAAGCTATAGTTAAATCAATAGTTAAAGCTATAGTTAAATCAATAGTTAACGCTCTGGTTACGGCTTCACGCACCGGTCCAGTATAATGATCTCTTGCTTGAGTTGCAGGAATTCGGACTCGCTGACTAACACCAGGTCCCTCTCGGCCTCTATGGCAGCGATCTTTCTCCTCAGCTCTGTGTAATGCTGCAGGAATGTACCTGTCTGCATCTCACTGACGATCGCCTGCAGCTGCTCCACCTAGCGAGAAACAACAACACTAAATACAGGTGTGTGTTCTAGTTTGCACAATGTTCACCGCCTAGTTGGCTCCACGGCGAGAGAGAACGCGCGCGCCACCTACCTGACTATATAGGTACTAGAAGGAACGCGCGCGCCACCTACCTGACTGTATAGGTACTAGATGAAAAATCCGCGCCACCTACCGCGCTTGTTATATGGTCTCGAGAGACTCGCGCGCGGCACCTTACCTGTGGTGTAAGCGTCGTTGATCTGTTTGTAGCGGTTGTTCGGTAGGCATGACGCTGTCGCTAGGCTGAGCACGGAGATCACAGTGCGCGGACCGTTTTACTGGCGACTCGGCACGGCCACGCCGACGCCGTAGTGTCCTCGACGACGGAGGCGATACTCCGCACCTGGTGGGATGAGCAGAGGTAAATACGTGCGTCACTGTGCTAGAAGTGTAGCCCACTAACAAAGTTATGTCTCCTGATTGATTATGGAAATGTTCTTTGGTTAAGCAGAACATTATTTCAGTAACGTTCTATTTAGAGCGTCGTTTTAGGAACGTCTTTTCCAGACATTCTGGAGGTGTTTTACAACGTTAGGCAGTAACATTTACAGCTACTTTCAGATAACATTGACAACCTTTGAAAAGACATATACTAACGGCAGCCAGCTACGCTGCGGTAAGTCATATCTTATGTCTTGAGGCACGGCTTATGGCGTCCACACAGCAAGTACAAACAGTCACACTATCCTATCGCCCATGCCCTACCTAACACTAACTCTAGAACGCACTCGATATTTATATTAAGCGTGGTTTAGTACCCAAATTATTCTATGGTGTATAAGCCTTTGTTTCAGTATGTTCTGGCAGTTTGAACTGACAATCGGATCCAAACAACTGTGTGTAAGTGGCTAGCTGGTACAAGAATGTACATTTTCATAGTTCAATCCGAGTGTTTCTAGCTATCGCAAAATCTTAATCGTGAATTAGTAACGTTATTAATTCCAACGCAGTTATTTTGGAAGCGACGCATGCTGGCAAAATGGCTGCCGTGTAACCCGTAGCATGCGATACATAATCGTCCCAAAGTAATCTCCAAATATCATCATATGATCTGATGATCATAATCAAACATACAGTTATACCTGTGCTATACGTTTGGCGCATAAATCACAAAATCGGCAATAGGAGGGTGTTCGAACCGCTCCGAGGACAGTTAACGTTTCCGCAATTCGCAAGGAAACATAACTCTGTCACAGGGTGGGGAAAAGTACCATGATGCATAACGATATGGGACTATGTCTTAGATTTTTCTGGGCCTAAGTAATCAAACGATAGAACTTCCAGCGAATTTTACGAAAATGTTCCGTGTTTCTGGAGGATAGACTACATGGCCCTGAAATGTAGTAAGGACAATAACGGTGGATTTACAGGCAATAGCTGGAGATTAGTATGCAGGTGAGCACATAGGTTAAGCTATTACGCCAGAGCAAGTTGTAACTACAGGCTTAGGGCGCGCAGAGAGAGAGAGAAAGATAGAGAGAGAGCGAGAGAGAGGAGAGTGGAGAGAGAGAGAGAGAGAGAACGAGACAGCAGAAGCGCGCGCGCGGAAAGGGCGAGAGAGAGAGAGAGAGAGAGAGAGAGAGAGAGAGAAGAAAGCGCAGCGGCGCGATAAGAGAGAGAGAGAGAGAGAGAGAGAGAGAGAGAGAAAGAGAGAAAGCGCGCGCGCGAAAGAGAGAGCGAGATAGAGATATATATATAGAGAGAGAGAAAGATAGGATAAGATGGATAGATATAAATAGAGTAGAGAGGGGGAGGAGAGAGAGAGATCAGAGAGAGAGAGAGAAGAAGGAAAGGAGAGGAGGGGAGAGACTGAGAGAGACAGAAGAGAAAGAGAGAGAGAGAGAGAGAGAGAGAGAGAGAAAGAGAGAGAGAACAGAATGCGAGAGAAAGAGAGAGAGAGAGAGAAAGAAAGAGAGAAGAGAGGAGGAGAGAGAGAGAGAGAGAGAAGAGGGGAGAGAGAGAGAGAGAAGGAGGGAGAGAGAGAGAGAGAGAGAGAGAGGAGAGGAAACAGGGCGAGCGGTGGCGTCCAGCGACCACGCATCCTTCACCATCAGCCTCATCATCATCATCATCATCATCATCATCATGACGATCACCCCAGCACGCAGCATGTCGCAGCCTCCACAAACGCTAGACTATAGATACCAGTAAGCAAGACTAGCTAGCCAGTAGTTAAGACTGACTAGACCAGGAGGTAGTTTACTTCTGATGCTGAATTGGCGGCAAAGCTGCGTTATATACGTCCCACCCTGGTGCGCAGGAAAAAACATGGGAAACCTCCATCCGTTACCAGCCGGTCTCTCATCATTGCTGTCGTTAAATTGAAGGGGGAGGGTTTATTCTGAAGATATATCTCATAGCATAAATGGCTGTCACATGCCTGGGAGGCGGGGTGGGTGGCGTTTAACACAGAGCTGCGCAAGCAGAAAATCAACTGCGACAAGAATCATTCGTTAATAAAACGTCAAAAAACACGCGTGCACGCACAGAGAGCGAGTGAGAGAGAGCGAAAGCAAGAGCGAGAGAGAGAGAGAGAGAGAGAGAGAGACAGGAGGGACGAGAGAGAGAGAAGTAGAGAGAGAGAGAGAGAGATGAGAGACTGAGATGTTTGAGGAGAGCGCGAAGAGAGAGAAAGAGTCGAGAGAGAGAGAGAGAGAGAGAGAGAGAGAGAGAGAGAGAGAGAGCGAGAGGGAAGGAGGAGGAGAGCGAGAGCTGAAATGGCTTCTTGAACTGTTACAACCGCGGCATACCGTCGCGGGTAAACGCCCGTCCGTCTGTTAGCTGGGGATTAGAGCAAGCACAGCCAGCGAGCGACCTAGTAGCAATATGACCCGGACTAATTTACGACCTTCGCCACGGGGCAGCAGTCATTACGTCCCTACATCGTTACAGGTGTAGTAGGTTCAGTGGCCAGACACGGAGAGCGAGAAAGAGAGCGAGAGAGAGAGAGAGCGAAAGGGAGCGAGAGAGAGAGAGAGAGAGAGAGAGG